GGTACTTGTTCAGTTGTTATAGAGACATTTGTGTGGAAATTTCCAGCCTAGTAATGTGCAATAATGAATCTTTGCAAGGTACTGCAACATGTTGGGCCCTGATTCAGCAAAGCAGTGAAATGTGTATGTACACATAGGTTTGCCTGTTTCATTCGATCAAGGCTGGATGCTGTTGTGACCTTTGAAGCTAGAGCATTTTCTAGCCTTATCAACAAAAATACTGTAGCTTCATTGCCTGACATTTACAGCAGAAAAACAAAAACAGAGCAGCTTGAGAGTCAGCATGACTAGAAAGATGCAGTAATTCAAGCTGTTAAGATTTATGGTTATTGCTAGTGGAGGATATTAAAGTAATTCACTGACATGATATACAAGGCTTGTGATCATTTCCCTCAAAAAAAATTGAAGGACAAGAGAATAAGGAATGCTTTGTGTTTGTGTTTTTCATTAGAACTGAAAAGCTCACTATTTCTGATTTTTTTGGGTGGGCACTTACTCTTGTGGCTTTTGATAAGCCCTTCCCAGCTGCTAACTCTCATATTTCTGCTCATCCTTTAAAACGGCTAGAAGCAACATGGCAGCTGGCTGCCAAAAGGTGATGTGCATTAGGGCTGTGTTAAACAAAAGACATAATTTTCTTGGAAGTAATTTTTTTAATACTAGGATGCGTACTAGGTCGCTTACAGTTTATACCAGTAAATATAACTCTGAACCTGAACTGCTGTGCAGAAATGTATAATTATGGGGCTGGTTTTTTTTGTTGTAATTATTAATAGCTATTGAAGCAAAATATTTTAGCCTCCTGGACACATTTCTATAGAGAATGAAACTAGCAAGCTCAAGTAGCCATGAGAATTAGTACTTTTATAGATAATTTGGTTGTGTAATTGCAGAATCTGCCAGTCGGAGCCTTTCAGAAGAGCTAACAGAATATTCGTTTTCAATGAGGATGTTGGGATATAGCTATAAATTTTATACCTTCCTGAGCTAGAAACAGTTGAATGCAGGAATCTGTATCCTAGCTGAGAAGCAATGGATATCCTTTCTGTGTCACAGGCATTAAAAAGACATTTTGCTAATTAGCTTTATTTTGACCAATACCTTCACTACAAACGTTGATAACTATAAACATGAAAGATGTCCTCTGGTGGCTGAGGAGGTCTGACATGCCCTGTGAGATGTGACCCACCATGTCAGATCTCTCTCACTCTGCTATCAGTGGCTGTGTGCTATATTAGGCACTGCCTCATCAAACACGACAGGATATGAGATGACCACAGGGTATGGCAAACTTAAAGTAAAGCTCCCAGGGCCCTTCATGGAGTTCAGACAGGAAACTGGTATTTTGCCACCAGGCTAGCAGGTGCCCACATTGCTACCCAGGACGTGCGTGATGCCTGTAGCAGAGAAGCTGCCTTTCAGTCCGCACGCTTCCAGCTGCCGTACCTGACCAGGTCAGCAGCACTGAAAGCTTCAGAGGAAGCCTCCGTCAGCTTCAGCTGTGGGACACCAAGAACTGTAGCAGGGAGAGTAGTGACCATGTCACCATGGAAATATCATGATTTCTACCATGCATTTGGAGGGAAGAAGGAAAAGTTTTTACTTAGTCTCTGATTTAAACAGCAAACTGGTCAGGATTGACAAAGAGCATGAATAATTACTCCTCTAGCCATTTATGAAGGTACCACATGTAAATCTTTGTATATGCCATTTGTGGAAGGAAATTGATGTTGTACTGCAGTAAATGTCGGGGGGTTGCTAGCTCCTTCTTCAATACTCGCTGTTACAGGTTGGAGAGAGGAGGCTTTACGGATCACTTCAAAGAGAAAGTTGAGATCAGCTGGTCTTGGCGCTCTGATCCTCTCCAGATTTTAATGTTTTAGGGTTATTAGCAGGGGGTTCCCAGCAGGTGGCCCTCAACTTCGGATTTCATCTCCCCAGTTGGTTTTATGATGTCTGATTTTTGCTGACCTTGCAGGTCATGTTAAGAGGCCTATATTTTGAAGGGGGAGAAGAGAGTTAAGTTTTTGTATGAGGAAGTTTCACTGCTTTTTTTTCTAAACCGATGCTTTGATAGTTTGGCCATGCTTTAATCTTTAACTTTGGAACGTATAGGGACAGGGGCTGCAGAAGCTGCGTTTGAGGTATGTGGCTGTGAATATGCTCAGCGTTCTGCTGAAGACTCAAGACCCTGGCCAGCTTAGGGAGCTGTCAGATTCAGACCCCGGGCACTGCTAGGAAGCTGCTAGGCCAACCCTAAACTAACAGTAACTGTAAGATGAGGTCCCAGTGTTCAGCTCATGATGATTACATATTAGGTAGTACTCAGGCTCTTACCACCACGTGCATCTATTCTGTGGGAGAAGTTCCTTGTCATTTGCATCAGATCCAATGTTCATATAAGTTGATGGAAAGTTTCATTCTGCTGATGCCAATGGAATTTGGATCCAGTGCTGTTTCTTGCAATGATTAACTCGTCCTGGTTGTCAGAGCTAGTAGTTTCTTTATATGGCGAAGGGTATATAATTAACTGAAGAAAAAATACACACCCTAATTTAAAGTAACTGGCACAGCTACCACTTCCTAGCATGTGTTAATACAAGTGAAATAGGTAACCTTATGTGAAGTAGTATCAGAGGCAAAGTGATGTGAAGAAAATGATGTGTTTAAAACCATGAGCACTTGAAACTTCACTCTAGTGGAAATAGCTCACATTTGAGGTTTTCTCTTTCTTTCTGAGCAGCTTTGACCTCATGGTTTGAACATGTGGTGTAGTGCTGGCTCTGGAACCCCAGACTGACCTTGGACTTGTCTCCTTAGTGCTTTTGACCAAGTTGTCTAACCTGGCCACATCTTGCTGGCATGGACATTCAAATGACAGATGACAGGCTGCAGCTTTTAACTCCCTGTGTGCCTTTACCTCTTGGGCACCAGGCTTTTCTCAGAGAAGGAAAGCAAAGGCACTTTTTCACTGTTAAACACTGATGAGAGCAGCCAGAGCCTGGTCCATACAAGACCAGTCCATCTTTCAGTGTTTCTACCCACAAGGTTGGCTTTTGGATCTAGTTCCAGATCGTTCAATCCCAAGTAGAGTATTTTCATTCTGGTCATGTGGCTGCCTTGGGCTTTACCAGCAGCCAAGACATGCATCATGGCCCCATTTCCCCATATATGTTATAAGTGACCTTTCTGCCACTGCAATTAATGATCTTGGAGGGCCTCACCTCTTACCTTTTTTCTGAAAGCAGAATTCTTGTAGTTTAACAGCAGTGCACTTTTGCACTGTATTTTACCATGTGTTCAGTGTATTTGTGTTCCTCGTGTCAGATATGATTTTTACAGCCTAGCAATTGATTTTTCAAAACTGGTAATGGAGCATGGGGCCAATACTGCACTGGAAGTCCCACAGAGTAGCAAAAGGACGTATTACACTGGTAGTATAGTTTCATCCTGCTTGCAAAATGGTGAAGCCCCATGTAAACACTGGCTAGGATAACCCTTCTGGCAACTCAGAGTCCGTCAAAGTGGGCCCATGAAACCTGACCTTTAAAAGAGAAAGGAATCCTGATGACTCACGTCAAGAGAGGGGGAAGCCCATTAATCCATCTCTGTGAGCCAAGCAAAGCATCTACTGAAAAGCCCTTGAGCTGTTAGGGTGAGTGGGGGGGAGGTTTGGGGAAAGGTGGCCTCTCTCCATGCCACGGAGAAAAATAGCAAGTGTCCCGTTTAGAGGTAGCCATCTCCTCAACTGTCCTTCGCGCAGCTCTAGATTGATTATGTTTGTTAAGGAAGAAGAGATAGTGTTGTCTTGCAAGGAAGATAAGGCAGGAAAAGATAATTACCTCAAGAAAGATAATCTAAACATTTTTAATATGTTAAGCATCTCAAGTAAGTCCAACTTTTTCAAAACTGCTAACAGTGTTGTCATGGACTGAGATAAGAAAAAGAGCAGCAAGAGCAAGCTTTGGTTCTCTTTGTTTTATTGCATTGTATGTTGAATGTTGATTTAAGTGTTTATTACAATTAACAGGTTTCAACATGCTGTTTGACTTACTTTAAATAGGTGGGTTTGAAAGTGAGCAAGTTCAGAGTCAGCCTAGTGACTCCTGCTTTGCTACCAGGAGTAGTTTTTTAAAATCTTGTCAGGTTTTTAAGTGACATTCTTCTTGTACTACCTGGTTTAAGAAAAGCTTCCAAAATGTGTATACTTACTATAAAAAGCCATTTAGTTGTGTTAGAGCATTTGGTGGGGGAGTCCCAACATTGACAAACATTTTTAGTTTGTCCACTACAATGAAAAATAAGTAATAGGAACAAAAAGGATACATTCCACTTTCTCATCTTTGCAGTTGCCAAGAAAAAGCAATTTCTTCCAGTTTGCATAACACAAGGCCAGACACATGGGAAATTAGACCTTTCTGTCTTAAAGCCTCAATTCACCAGCTGGTGTTCCAGTTTCCGTAGGACTATATTGTTCTGGCAGAGCTGGCAAATCGGTTGCCTTGTGTTAGATTTACCTTCCAGGTGTTTCAGTCAGAATGGATGGGCTGCAAATTGCACTGTAGCCGAGGCAGCCCTCAGCATGCCTGGTTTTTAGAAAGTTGTTATTACTTGTTTGTTTATTTGTTTATTATCACACTGTAGGAGCACCAAGCATGTGAACCTCACTGTGCAAAATATTATACACACATTTATTTAAAAAGGTGGGCTCTGCCCTAGAGACCTGATAGTCTGACCATTGGAGAGAGGAAGGCAAATCTTCAATCGACGTTGCATGTGTTGAATATTACAGAAATAACAAGGCTTCCAGAGAGGTTCACAAAGAATGGGACTTGAATCAACATTCATGAGGAGTGTGGGTTTTTTCAAGGTTGGAGGATTTTTCACATAGGCCAAAGAAATAAACCTTAACAGGATTTTGTCTGTTTCATTGTCTGTGTTTTTTTTGTCAGAGGACATGCAGGATATTCACATTTACTAATTGCTTATGTTCATTCTAGATGGGATACACTCCTTTGCATGTTGGCTGCCACTACGGAAACATAAAAATTGCTAACTTCCTTCTGCAACATTCTGCAAAAGTTAATGCCAAAACGAAGGTGAGTTTTCCGCTTCTGTCTCGCTCATTCTGTGGTGGGGGCTTATGTACCGTGCCCGCTGCAGCCTTTCCCTTTCTCTGTGCCTGCAGAACGGGTACACGCCGCTGCACCAGGCTGCGCAGCAGGGGCACACCCACATCATCAACGTCCTGCTCCAGCATGGCGCGGCACCCAACGAGCTCACTGTGGTAAGTGGAGAGGGGCCACCGTGAGGCTGCCCCTTTCCCCTCGGGCTGAGTCGTCGCACCCCACGTAAAGCATTCGAGCAAGAGAAATGTGGAAAAAATGTGTGTGGTGGGAGAGGAAGAGAGCAGAGGAAGCCTACTGCCATTGCTCCCACATCCTCTATGCCATCATCTCTTCCAAAACGAGAAGAGCAAACATCTGAAAATCTTTTCATTTTCATCCCATTTCTGTAAAGAGTTAAAAACTTCCAGTTATATATCCTACTACACAAAATATATTTATCTCAATTGCCGACACGCAAACATTTATTTGACCTGTGTTGTGCAGTTTCTACATTTAACTTTACTAACATTCAACTTTTGGTGTAAATGTTTCAATTGCTAGAATGGAAACACTGCCCTCGCCATTGCTAAGCGACTTGGCTACATTTCAGTTGTTGACACATTGAAGGTGGTGACAGAAGAGACCATGACTACAATTGTAAGTACAGCTTAGTTCAGCAGTGAATGGAAGAATTTTTCCTAAGCCAATGTATTCAGCTTTGTTTAGTTACATGTCTACTGAGATTCCAGTTTAATTTCCACCCATTTCCTTTTAGCAATATAAAGTGGATATGAAGTCAAATATGAGCAATGTATTTTTAAGGTAGTAGACATTATTAGGATGTGTGCAGAAACAGTACCAACCAAGCAGAAGATGGACAATGTAAATGACTGGTCATAGCTGCAATTTTTTTCTGCACATCTTGTTTAGAGCACAAACCACATGAATACAGGCTGGTTTGTAGTTGAAAAGACATTCCTACAGACTTGTGTAAATGGAAGCTGCTTCTGCCTTTTGAGAGGGTTTGCCAAGGGACTGATGTATAATGGCTTGTATTTGGCCTGGGAACCTATTCTGATCTAAAAAGTGGTTGGAATTTATTTAAAAGCACCTTGTTGTGTAGTTTCTGGTGTCTTCTGAAAGATGGCGGAAGGCTGTCTTCTGCAAGCAGCCACAGTCAGCTCCTGCAACCCCAGATACCCATTCACTGACGTATGCGTGGACTCCAGCTCGTCTGTCTTGCCTCTCGGGAAGACTCATTGCAGTGTTAGCCAGGAGAGATTAAAGGGACTAGCAATGGTCAAACATTACCTGCTGTCAGAAAAATGGCGATTCACAGTGTCCAAAATATTTCTCAGGTCTTTTGTTCATTAACGTTTTGACAAATTGCTCCATGAAGAAAACAGTTTTATGTGGTGTGGAGCCTCCATGCACCACCATAGTAGTAAAGCCAAAATTGGGTCTTAAGAACATAAATTCAGAGCATTGGCTCCAAATTTACTTTTTACTTTCTGCAACTTTTTTTTTTTATTAAAAAGAGAGAAGTATGTGCACATATGCATTTTTAGGCGTATCAGAGACAGAAAACAGTTACTGTGTGTTCCATGTTTTGTCATCACCCATTTGTGTGGTCTGTCAGTGCAAGCAGGTGGTTGCAATATGATGAGCATTTGGGATGACAGGCAGATTTTAGCTCTGCTGCTGCATGAGTCTTTTCTTCCTATGACTTCCGTGGTCTATAATTCAGTAGCTTACAGAAAACCCACCAGACAAAAGACAAATTTCGTAACAATAAAACATAAAGGAATATGTCAGAAGATAATAGAGATTTTTTTTCTTAGAGCTTTTGTCTAGGTTTTCTCAGGAGCACGTTACTCTGTAGAAAGATTCCAGAATAGTTTTCCACAGCCTGAAAAATTTGATGAAGATTATTATACGGGGTAGCATAAACTTGAATGATTGTCTAGTATACAACTAAGTAGCTGCAGGAAAAGTAAAACCACATTTTTATATTAAGAACTCCCAGTGACATAAGGTTATTCTTAAGCTTGTAGAACCAAGAAACTGGGGGAGTTTGTGCTGCATAAGATGACTGATCTTATCAGAACATGATTATGTTCTGTAGATGAAGAAGAGTAAAGAGATGGTGGGTCAGGCTGTGAATTGTGCGAGAAGAAATGTTAGATGCTGCAAGGCCTATACTACCCCAAATACCTACTGTCAAGAGAAGCCCAGAAATAATTTCCATTAAAATCAGAATATGCTGCTTATCAGTCACAAGTGTGTAATTGTCAGACTTTGGAAGTCTAGACATGAAATCTGATTTACAGCTGAGGGTCTTAAAAACTCAGTTTGCCTGCTGAGACTTACTTTTTGAGACCTGTGGCTAAACAACTCCTAAAGGCAAATTTAATGAAACCAGGGATAAACATAGCTAATTTTACTAAAATTTATACTCAAACACAATAAAAAAATCCAGTAGTGCCTGGAAAAAAAAAAAAAGTCCTGTGATTTTGCTAGTTTAACAGCAATGTGTTAAAAAGCTTTGGAAGTAATTCCCACAAAATTAAATAATTGTGAAACTTTTTATAAGTTTTGTGATTGAGCATGTGGGAGCTCTTCTGCCTGTATCAAGTGACGACAGTTGCCCAAGAAATGTGAACTGCCAAATGAGTATTCATGAGGCCAGAGAAGAACTGAAATATTTTAAAATAAATGAAAATGGAAAAGCTATTTTGTCCTCCTGAACTTGTTAATGCCTTCTTATTCATATATGAAGGATGAGAAGTAATGGTGGTTAAAAATAATGTAATATAAAAATCATGGGTTTTGTTGTTTGTTTTATTTTTTTTTTAATTCCACTGCACTCCTTGACTGGTAACTCAGCAAGGTCTCATGTGTGACCTAAAATTTAACCAGTGCTTGTTGTACTGTACCTCAAGTGGAGAGTACAGTGTGTGTGTTGCTCATGGTATGCACAGGCATTCTAGGAACAGATTTCAGGCATTCATAACATTTTTTTTTTCCTGCTTCTAATTTTTTTTTAAATTGGTCTTTGAGTCTGAATCAATATAAGCATCAGGATGAAAATCAACCAGCCACTTCTTAAAGGATATGATTTAGCCTGCATGTGGTTACAATTGTTCTCATCTGTGGGAAAAAAACACAGTCATGCTGAGGCACCTCTGAAAAAATTCACATAGATTAAGCCTGCTCCCAAATTGCAGCATTTTTCTAATGACAAAGGATAAATACTTCCCTCAGAAAGTTTGGTTTAAATAGAGATGATGTGTTCCTGCTCAAAATTTAGATGATTATTTAAAGAGTTCTTACTAAACCCCTTAACATGAAACTTTTTTCAGTGTATTTGTTTCTTCTCTTGATATCACCATCTTCTAGGCTTTCAGCTCATGCTTTTTCTGCTGTGAAAATATGAATATATTTTAAAACGCAAATATAATATTGCCCATTTCTGTAGTCTTTTTAATGTATAGTTCAGTGCATCTATAAAAAGAAAAGTGAATAAGAAGCTAAAAAAAATCAATCTTGTTTTGCTAACTGCAGATAAAAAATATGTCCTGCCTTGCATTTAATTTTCAAAATAACTATAATTTTGGGAAGAATTATGTCTGTACTCTGAAATGATTTTTTTCTTTGACAGACTGTTACAGAAAAGCACAAGATGAATGTACCTGAAACCATGAATGAAGTTCTTGATATGTCTGATGACGAAGGTATTAAAAACTCCTCTTGCTTATTTTTCAGTCTTTTGCTATTGTAAGAAATGTTTGTTTAAAAAAAACCCAGTGAAACAGTACAGTATTAGTTGGATACGTCTTTGCACATTAGTTACTGTTTTACGTTGATTGTTTTGTTGACGCATTCATACTCTATGCTTTTATTTAATTATTTTGTTTATTTAAATCATGCAGTTCGTAAAGCCAATGCCCCTGAAATACTCAGTGATGCTGAATATTTGTCAGATGTTGAAGAAGGTATTTGTGCATTTTTGTATTGCAGTGATATTTAACTTAAGCCTCTTCCTTCTATTTCATCTATCTGAAAATTAATCCTTTCAAATAATTTTCTTATTATCCCACTAACAATAATTTCTGCTTTACAATTAAGAATGCTTGGAAAAATTCTTTGAGCTATTCCTGATAATACTCTAATTTTTTCTGAATGTCTTACTCCCAATTTTTTAATCAAATTACCCCCAGTTTCCTGGAATACTCCTTTTGCTGCTGCTTCTGTAAAGCAGAGAATTGTTTTATTATTGTAACTGAAAAAATAAATATAGGATAAAAGGGTCAAATATCAAAACATATTGGATTAAATAACTGATAGTGAAAGTAATTGCAGAACAAATGATTTTTTAGTTGGGGTTTGTTTTTGTTTTTTTTTTTTTTAATTCTGATGTGGATTAAACTCTGAAATGGTTGATTTACACTGATAGTGGACACTTAGCCTGGAAAGAAGTTATTTTCAGGGTGAGGTTTTTTTTGTTTGTTCTGGGTTTTTTTTATGTGTATAACATTTTAGTCATGATATGTGGTAAAACCACATCAGACTACTTTTGTCTTTAATATAAGAGGATGCTGCATTGGACTCAACATGTTGGCATTTGTTAGGATTAAGAAAGTAGTTTGTAGCTGAGACTTCATCTGTATTATCCTGCAAAGTGATGTTGAAATCTGTGAGAACAGCAATAAAACCCTCTGTTTTCAGCACCTTTAATAAGTCTCTGGAGCTATTGGCACTAGCAACCTGCCTGTCCCAGCTCACTCCTCAGTGCTGGGCAGGCTTGACATGGCTTCAGTGGTCCTCAAGTATTTAAAAGTCCTTTGGCAGTTGCTTCCCTCCTCTATATCAGCATCCTCTGTTAGGTCAGACCTCTCCTGGTTTGGATGTGCAGGAGTCCATGAGAGTTTCACCAGGAACTGCAGGTTTCCAGAGGCCATGGCAGGATTAGGTTCCCAGTGGCATTTTGAAACAGGAAGGTCTTGAGGTGATGAAGAGGATGAGTGTCCTGAAGGCTTTTTTGTGTGTCCCAATTCACTTGCATTAGAGCTGCAGTTTTTTCTTCTCTAGTAGGAGAACAAGTGACTGGGTTAAATTTTCTTGTGCTTCCTTAGTTAATCTCTAGTGATATATTTACTTTTAATTTTCATAGCATTTAAGCAGTAAGGTGTAAAAGCTATTTAGCTAAATTCATCATGTGCAGCTTTTGTTTAATTCATGCATTGAGGCTTTTGGTTTGTTTTCAGTTTGTCATTGTGTTCCCATTGCTGCAGTTCCAACTGGATAGTGTTCTTACCCTACACCTGTGTTTTACAAATAGCTCTCTTAGGCTATTGTATTGCTCAAAATACTGTATTGTTTTAACTGACTGGAACCCTGATGCATAACAGTGTTAGTTAATGGAGCAGTGACTACCGCCGTATCCCATGGCACAGCATGTGGTGAGGTACAGATGAGAAACACTCCTGTATGGAATCTGAACTTTAGAACCAAAGATGTAAAACGTGTCTTTTAATATACAGGATCATTTGTTAAGGCCAAATGCAAAGCCTGCAGGGATGTGTGAGATCTGTGGTAGGTTTTTAGAGTCACTGACTCTCAGTTTAACTAAAAACAAACCAAACCAAATATTAAGAATGCAGGTAATACAATCAATTCCTTGCCTAGAGACTGTTCTGCACCCTTGTTGTTACTAAGGGAGCCAAGAGACTGGTTTATATATAACAGGGTCATTTTCCAACCAAACACTGAAAAGGAGTGCTCAAATCAAGTGATAGGTATTTTATTAATCTACGCTGAAGCATTCCACTGTGCAAGAACATGTGCCGAATTACTGGCTTTGAGGTAATAACCACTGTCTGTCTCTCTTTCCTGACTTGCACATCTGTAAAGACAATATACCAATGCCCATCCCCACAGCTTCTCAGTGTTGATAGGGTATTTACATATAATGCATCCACTTATGCTGTGGAAATTAATCTGCTCAAGATGGTAATGCACGCTGACAAATCTCATAGCCAGGGAGCTGACTTCCAGGCGAGAGAAGGGCACAAATTTACCACCCATATCCGAGCTCTCCCTCACTTGGCTAACGTTGATGTCATCAGCCAAAACTCTTCAGCAAGAGAAACTTGTTCAATGATTTCTTAATATGCCACAATCCTCAAGGTTTCTCTCATAAGAGCAATTGAAGCCTTGGAAAGTGGAGTCTCAGAGCTCAGAGACAAATGTCAGGAAACTATTTCCTTGCATTTATGTCTTGCTGTGCCCACTAAATTAGTATTTACAGAGCAATTGTTTAATTTTTCTTCCCTGCTGAGGACAGTTTGGTTTGGAGTCAGACTGGTTGAGAGGACAGACCTTTTCTTCCTTTTCCTAGACTACTCTAGCAATTCTGCCCAAATGAGGTTAAGTGCTGGGAAACTGCTACACCACAAAAAAGAAATGGTGGGTTTTTTTTTTTTTTGGAAGATGAGAACATGATTTTGTGGGGAAAAAAATGAAGGCACATCTCTGTATATAGCAGAAAGTTTGTAGCAGAATATAGAGCAATTCTGATGCACACTGAACATATGCTCTGCTTTTATTTTTAAAGAGATTGCAAATCTTATAAATGTGAAACCTGAGACTGCAAGAACCAGGTCTTCCCTCTTACTGTCTCCAGATGTGAGCTTGCACCCCACACCCTGTGTAGCTGCTGGGAGCCCCAGCGGTGCGCCCCGTGGCCACGGGGCTGGTGGGGAGCCAGGAATAGGCCATGCTGAAGCACACCCCAAGCTGTCTGCGGGAGGCCTGGAAGGAACCCCCTCGCATACCCAGCTTTGGAGCATCCCTCTGGGTGCGTGCGAGAGCTTTGAGCTGGTGGAGGAAGCTGAAGCCCTGCTGCAGCTGCCACAAGCCAGCAATGAGCTCTGTCACAACAGCCCCCGCAAAAGCTGCCGCTGCTGTTTTGGAGGCGAAGGGACAGCAAGCAATGGAAGCTGATACAAAGAGGGGTGAGACTATGTGAGCAGTGAAGAGAAAAAATCCAAACCAAAAAACAGTTCAGGTGTTGAGAATTTAGGCAGTCATTGTTGGAGAAATACTTATCGTGGAGTTTTTTTTTTGGTTTTTTTTTTTGTCTTCAGTAGATAACAAACTTTTGGGTGTAAATAAGGACACTGTTTTAAATCCATTTAATGGGGATTCCTCTCAGTAGGAGTAAGTATGATGCTAATTAATCCCTGGCAGATTAGACAAATGTCCTAAAAAGACACGAGTGCACTCTGCCTGATCCCCAAAGTAGGTGCTGAGGTACAGCAGTTGAAGTGCTTTTAACACAGGTCAGGGCATCCCCTTGCATGAAAGTCTGTTATTGATCATTGTACGATGGGGTGATTTATTATATTTTTATGCTCAGAGTTTTCTGAGTTTCTTTGTCTCCATAAAATTTTAGAGACTAATAGAAGTTTCAGGAGTTTGGTATTGGCTTTTCTTGAGAAAAGGTGACAAAGGTGATGAGAGGTATGGAAAAGCTCGGGGAGAAAAGAGTAGATAGAGTAGGACTGTCTATCCTAGAAGAAAAAGCTGAATTGAGCGATGGGCTAGAACGTATAAAATAGCGGGTGGCAAAGTGAGCAGTAATGCTTGCTGCTTCTCCAGAAATCCAAGAACATGGGGCATCAGTGAAACCAGCAAGGGGCTGATTCAGCTTAAATTAAAAAGGCTGCACTTCCTGCAACAGGTAGTTGAATTGTGACTCCCACATCCGCGTGTGGGGAATGCAAAAAGTTTACAGGAGTTTGAAGTGTAATCGGAAGAATTTAAAAAGGTGGAGGGTGGGCAGAACACCTATTCATGACTATACAAACCTCTTGCAGCTTTACAAAATGTGTTCTTAAATCACTGCCAGCTAGAAAAATGTCCCGGAGGACTTCCACTGTTTCATGTTCCTGTATGCTTCTGTGAAGTGTGGCTGCTGTCAGGGACAGGGTATATACTAGGGCTGACAGGCTTTTGCTTTGACCTACTGCCGCTGTTCTTTCCTGGATTTTGAAGGGTTTTCTATACTTGTGGTAGCTATGCTTGCCCGCTGTTAACAGGGGCATCATCTTTCTTCAACACATAACACGTTATGAAGGGCAGGATGGCAACTGCAGCAAAGCAGTATTGTCTTTCTTTGGTTTTTGCTTTTTCATCAGTGCCTCACTTCTTGGGTATTTCTCTATCATTTGTGTTCAGAGGTGAATTTTGTCTTCACTTTTCCATGGAACCTTTCTGCAGGAATACAGTATGCTGTGAGCAAACACTGTGCTCCTTACCTGAAATGCAGAGGATTAGGCTGTGGCACCTAATTAAACAGAGTGCGGTTGCTGAAACGTGCACCACCCATTTTGCTCCAGCCTCCCACGATCACAAAACAATGTCTGGAATTCTTTGAAATTACCACTCCTAGATGCAGCTTGTCCTTTGATGAGAACATTTCATCAGAGTGATCGTGCTCCAGCTGGATTAGCTGCAGAGCAGGAGAATAGCTAACGTATTTTGCAGCTCAACTGGAATAGCACTTTATCATTCTCCACCTTGCCTTTGACGAATGATGCTCCTAAAGAAAATGCCTTGTCTTTTCCTTACGGGGGCACAGTGCTCATCTTCAGGTGGTGTAAGGGCAGAAGTTTCTAAATTTACTTGGCCTGGTTAGCAGCGACTCAAGGTTGCCCGAATCTCTGACCCTCCCTGGCCACTCTGTCACCTCCCAGGCCAC